TATAATAATGTTGTAAATAATGTAGACCCATATAGACAACTGAATTGTCCTCAATTTTTAAATAAAACAGTTCAATGTAGTATGTTTAATGTACAATTCATTCACTGGTCCCTTTGGTCCACATATGTAAACTATACATTTACAAACATCCACCTATTTAGCCTACGGCACTTTAATTCCGCCCTTTAACCTTGTAGTTATAAGGAGTGTTTTAGCCCGGACTGCTTTTTGAATGGGGCACAATACAGGGGAGCTGATCAGAACAGAGGTCATTTACATATATCAGTCTCAAAGGCATAGTAACAAAAATACATTTTTTTTTTTTTGGTTTATAAACCTACAGAAACATCATGCATGGACCTCAGGGGGAACAATACAAGAAAAATGTAATATACAGCTCATCAGCTATTGTAATGCTAAGGTGGTTCATCCAGCCCCATTAACCTTCACCAGCTGTGTGGAGGAACTACCAGAAAGACCCTATGAGGCTGTGCTGGGGTTAAAAGGCCAATTCTTTTCAGAGGGGAAAAATGCTACATGTGGAATGTTACTCACTCTGGAGTAGAGAGAGAGAGAGAGAGAGAGAGAGAGGGAGAGAGAGAGAGAGAGAGAGAGAGAGAGAGAGAGAGAGAGAGAGAGAGAGAGAGAGAGAGAGATTAGTCTTTCTTATGCTCACGCCAGTATAAATCAGTATGTCTATGCGTAGCAGGTGAAATAATAAAACAGTAAAGGAGAGTTTCCAAACAGAAGAGTAGTGGGAAAACTGGAAGCATTGTGGGAAAAAAATTGGAAAAACTCTTTCAGCAAGTGGAGAGAGTGGGATAGTGCATGAATACTCATGGAGATGGAGAGATGATGGGAATCATGATTGCAGCTCATTATTGCAGCATTACTGGAACAGAAAACGAGCTCCTTACCCTCGTCTCTCTCTCTCTCTCTTTCTCTCTCTCCCTTAGTTCATATCAGTTCAGTAAGCTTTATTAGTATGACCATATTTATATAGCATCATTGAAATAAAAATGAATATACATTTAGAACATTTAGAGACTTAAATAGTCTTGGTTTCAATTATAAGAAAAAGGACATTTAAATTTTCAAAATACACATACAACATACAAAATCTATTTAGCAGTGCATGTGGTACTCTGTATCATTGATTAGCCCTTCTTTACCCCATTCATCTATGGTCAAGATGACCTCATAAGGCCACCACTGAGCAGGTATTATTGTACGATAGATCATTCTCAGCACTGCTGGGCTGAGAACAGTCCACCAAAAAATATCCAGTCAACAGTGTCCTGTGGGCAGCATCCTGTGACCACTGATTAAGGACTAGAGGATGATGAGCACAAACTGTGCAGCAACAGATGAGCTACTGGCTCTACATGTTGGACCAACATGGCTGGTGTGTCTAATAGAGTCAACAGTAGGTGTACACAGTGAACTCCAGTAGCCCTACAGTGCGGAGAATGATTCACCATCCAAATAATACCTGCTCAGCTGAGGTACCGTGTAGGTCCTGACCACTGTAGAGAACACTGTAGAGAAACTTACCGACAACTTTACTAAACTTCTTCACAGAGGTTGTGACAGGAACCAGAAGTCATGATGTCTACAACACAAATATAGCCATTTTATTTGCTATCCAGCATTACTAGTGAACTTACACATGTTCTGAGTTTTTACATGTAATGTTGATAATGGTAATGGTTTCTTGGGGCCATCTTGCCTTACAACACCCTGCATATACGTCTCCATCTTCTGACAAAAGACAGATTTTAGGCCAAAGCCTTCACAAAACGATCGTGAAACAATATCTCATAAACATCACATCATATTCTGGGTCGCGGTGGGGCACTGGAGCCTAGCCCAGCTGTCATTGGGCAGAAGGCAGGATACACCCTGGACAGGTTACCAGTCCATCACAGGGCAGACAGACAGACATACACATTCACACCTAGGGGCAATTTTAGCATGTCCAATTGGCCTGACTGCATGTCTTTGGACTGTGGGAGGAAACCCACGTAGACGCAGGGAGAACAGGCAAACTCCACACAGAAATGACCATGGTCACCCGGCCGGGAATTGAACCCAGGCCATTCTTGCTGTGAGGCAACAGGGCTGCCCACTGCGCCACCGTGCCGCCCAATATCTCATTCTCATTTCATGTAATACTTGCTATGATGAAGCTTTGAGAGGAACTGAACTCAGATGTCTGGTTCCTTTCACCACCATTGTTAATAATTGTGACAATTAGTTTCTCTGGAATGGAGCATTTCACATCAAACCAATCTGAATGACTTTGTTGACATCTTAATGATTTTGTCATGCAGAAATTTTGAAGTCGGTAGAATTCCCCTTTAAGGTGTGTCTTATAAAGTGGCCAATGAGTGTATTCAGTGTTAAAGTAGTAAGTGATTTGATCTCTCTCTCTCTCGCTCTGTCTCATTTACAGTCTTTGTAAAGCAGCTGTAAGAACCTAAACATGTACTCATTTTCATCCAATACAGTCTTACATAATCATAATATCTGTTTCAAACAATATCTGCTGAAACAGAAACTATGATAGGAAAAAAAGCACTAAATCTCACAGCCATGCTGAGTAAGCCACTCTCGCTATCCATGCTCCTCAGCTTCTCTATCTCTCTCTCCTGAGCCCAAACCTCTGATCTTTCCCTCATTCCCCGGCAGGCTACTGGAGGAAGCGGTTTGGGTGCAGACTCTGCTTGGCTGGGACAGTGTGTCTTAAGAAGAGCTTTTAAAAGTTTCACCAGAGCAACGTTTTCCGTGAGGAGGGATTTAGTGGTGTGAGATCAGGGGGTCTGCAGTGGGTACAGATGCTGATGGAAAGAGGTATAGTAGTTGTAATCCTGTGTGTATTTTGAGAAAGCAGAGAGGATGACACTGACCCCTACTGGTGGAGGGCTGTCATTACAGGAGGTACAAATGATGACGTTTTGTCCACTGATGTCCAAAAATGCTAGAAACATTTTCTATATGCTGTGGCATGATCTTCCATTCCTCCACATTCAAAACGGCCCATTTACAATGAAGGTCACTTAAACAAGAATCTAGGTTGGACTGGACTGATAAGGCCCCCATTCAGAACTGATTACAATTTAGGCTATCATTTGTGAAGGTATAAAGGGATTGTTTCACTAATGGGGTCATTTCAACTTTAAAAGTCTGTTTATCTCAGATCTGGACTCAAGATGATACTAAAGCCTAAAGGCAAAGAACTGCCCTTTTGCTGGCCTTAGTCAATTGCTCCAAATCTGAATGTGCAAGCGTGTACTGTTTGCACCCAAAAGAGGCCAAAAGTAATGGCCATTATCTGAAATTAACAAGCTGTGGAATCGATTGTATGCTGATGTTTTAAAAAGCCTTTTGTGAATAGCCTTTTAGGGCTTCTAGAAAGCAAAATCTGCTTTTGAAGAAAGCCTCAGAAGAAAGTGAAATAACTTGCTGAAAAAACAGCACAGTCCAGCATGCATTTCATGCTGGTTTATGCTGGTCTAGTGTTGGTCTGGTGCTGGTTTAGCTGCTCACCCAGCATACCAGCATCCACAACACAACATATATTGGTTTTGTTGGTGATCAGCCATGCTGGTCTATGCTGGTTTTTCTAACAAGGAAGTCTGACAGTATGCCATAAAAAGTTGAGGCACATGAGGCGCAACTTGTGTGTGAGGAAATCTCCCTCACTTATATCACTTAAACACACTTAAAACGATAGCACAACAAAAATCAATCACAGTACCATAAAGGAAACACACGTAAAATGTCAGTCAGCCTGTACACAGCTGAGGGGTATTAACGCTGCAGTATGAACAATTGTAATACCAAAAGAGGCCACTAGAGGGGGGCCCATCCTAACAGATACCTCGCTAAATCTCTTTCTAGGCAATTCTGAACCATCTGACGCATCATGCGCAATGGGAAGCCTATTCCATGTGGCTTTCCATCTTGGGATGTAAACATCTTTTCAGCATTTTATGTCAACAAAATTCTCTCCTTTTTACAGACATAGTCAAAAACTCCAAGAAACATGTATATATATGTGTATATATATATATATATATATATATATATATAGATATATATATATATATATACACACACACACACACACACCACATACATATATGTATATATATATATATATATATATGTGTGTGTGTATGCATACTAGTATAATTTTTTAAAGATTACATGCAAACAGATTGTTTTGTCATGTTACAGATCTATTTTAGAGGAATTTCTTTGTGTTTAACAGAACACTAATCAAAACTTTCAGCTTCAAAGCAAAGTGAGTTATCATAAAGGCACTTTGTAAATTGAACTTCCTATCATCATGTAAAATCTCAGAGTTGCAGGCCTACTCTATGAAGCATGCGAGTATACATTTCATAACCTTTTGCTACATTTACATGTTTGTTTTTTAACTTTCAGGGGTCTTTAGGGTCTAGTGTGCTTGAGGGCATATTCTATTAGCAAAGTTATCAGGTGAGGGTCACAAGCCCCGCTACAGCAGCCTAAACTAAGATTATACATTGTACAGAAAATGCAATGGTACTTTGCTGTGCAAAAGTGAAAGAGAAGAGCTCTCTCTGTCTCAGCTTAGAGAGAGAGAGAGAAAGAGAGATAGAGAGAGAGAGAGAGAGAGAGAGAGAGAGAGAGAGAGAGAGAGAGAGAGAGAGAGATGGTGACTCTGGGTTTATCTCTCAGCTCTAGGGCAGTGACTCCTCTGTCCTCTAGCCTACACATCAATAAGCTTCATTAGAGTGCACACTAATCAGATTGGCAGTACAGTGAATGGGAGGAAAAAGAGAGAGAGAGAGGGAGAGAGAGAGAGGGAGAGAGGAGGAGAGAGTAGAATAGATAGAGAGAGAGAGAGAGGAGGAGAGAGTAGAATAGATAGGGAGAGAGAGAGAGAGAAAGAGAGAAGAGTAGATAGATATAGAGAGAAAGGAGGAGAGAGAGGAGTAGAGAGAGAGAGAGAGAGAGAGAGCAGGAGGAGGAGAGTTGGGAGTGGTGTTCAGTAGTAGATCCTTGCAGGCTGAGTGTATTTGACTGCAGTGCTGTGGTGAAGCAGCAGCGCTCCTGATAGGCTCCTTCACTTTCCAGCCAGACAGCAGGCAAAGCCCTCCCTCTAACTCTCTCACCCACACACGCCTCTCTCTCCTCCTCTCCCTGCATCTACTGCTCACTCTGCTGCTGAACACACACTCACAGACACACACATATACTCTCACACACACAGCGACACACACACTCTCTCTCTGCGCATTTCGGGGACAGAAGCCGGTTACTCTTGCCCTCTCTCTGCATGACTGTCACAAAGGTAAGAGTGCTGCAGAGGGGCGGGGAGAGTGTCTTTGGGCTCCACTGCAGTGGGGTGATGCTGCTGGGTCTGCTGTTGCGTTAATCTGTGTGTGTGTGTGTGAGAGAGAGATTATGTTTTGGCGCAGCACAGGAGTTAGTCCAGGTAGAGTTGCTGCTACAGTGTTAACCCATGTGTTTACCATATAAATACAAATAATATTAGAACAAAAAAGAATTGATTTTATAAATGTTAGAGTTTTTGTTTAACCATTTCCAAAGCCCAGTATTATTTGTATTATTTATGCCTGGTTTGTCTGATCAATTACTCATTAAATTAAATCAGGAATGCTGCTGATGAAATGTAACAAATTCATACAGTGGTTGGGGACATTAAGGAGAGATATGGAACCAAACTTTGTAGCTGAAAAAACACATGTATAAGCATGTATATGTGAGTTTATTTTGTTGGTCAGCGGTCACTGTCCTCTAGTAGACCAGTGGTCAGGCTAATGTAGACTGGGTCAACTCTTAATGTCTGAGTGTGTCGGATTGTGTATTTGTGGCTTTAACACACTGATTACAGTACAAGCTCTTAATCCAGTGCTGTCCTGCATACAGACTGAACTGTGTGTGTGAGTGTGAGTGTGTTTTTACTGATGGGAAATGTTGTGTATATGTGTATGTCAGGCTGTCAGGTTGCAGGATGCACCGGTGAGTGTGTGCCTGAGTCCAGATGGAACTGATTTTATCATCACAGTGCACAGAGGAAGCCAAGGGAGCGTGTTTACGCATGTGTATTAGCGTATAACTTGTATGATAAAGCTGATATAAGCCTCAGCATAAATCTTAATTCATTAAGGGAGCTGAAGACTGGTGCAGTTATCACACCATTCTGAAGCATAATATACACATGTCCACTTACATTAACATGTTTAGTATGTGACACACATGAAGAGCAACTTTATTGTGACTGGTTTTGTAATGCTGCAATCCCAGTGCTGACATCCTTTCTCAATAGAAATAATGGGTGGCCACAACTTTCTAACACATGGGAATAGGATTCTAATACAGGGCAACAACTGCATTAAGCTGTAGCCACAATTTAGTAAAGCATGTGAGCAACTTAATTATCTTGTTGCTACATCTTAGAAGGTTGTGGCTCTGTTTTAACTCTCTCGTTCCCATGGTTTACCAAGTTGTGGCCATGAATTAACAATAACAACTTAACTATATAGTTCCCATGCCTAAGTTGTGGCCATGACTTAACAGTAACAACCTAACTGTCTTGTTCCCACACTTTACATGAGGCCATAACTGAACTGTAACAATTTAACCTTGTTACACAGCTTACTAAGGTGTGGCCATGCCTTAACTATCTCAGTCCCATACTTTATTAAGTCATGGCCATGACTTTAATATAACAACTATCTCATTCCCAGGCCTTACTAAGTTGTGGCCACAATTTAACAATAACAACTTAACTGTCTTGTTCTCATGCCTTACTAAGTTGTGGCTACAACTTAACTATGAAAATTTAATTATTTCCTTCTTATGCATTACTAAGTCGTTCCCATGACTTAACTATAACAACTTAGCTATTTTGTTCCCATGCCTTACTAAGTCATGGCCACAACTTAACTATCTTGTTCCTGTGCCTTACTAAAGTTGTGGCCAAGCACTATTTTTAATAAAGTATAGATTTCACCAGCGAGTCTCCACAATTTAGAGATTATTGCAGCACAAATAGCGTTGGATGGGAACCAGTCAATAAGAGCTTTTCTATCTTATTGTTAAATTTACTACTTCCAAGGGTCACAACTTTGTAAGAGTTAGCCCTATAATATTTGCACAACCCCCTAAGCCATATGTGTCAAACACAAGGCCTGTGAGACAAGTCAGGCCCGAGGCTCAGTCCTATTCGGCCTGCAAAATTATTTTAATTTTCTGTTAATATTAGCCCATTTCACCTTGAGCTGCACTACAGTTCCCAGCATGCACCGCAGTGTAATGTGTACTCCCTCTCCAACAACAGTCTATGGGACTGATGCTAAGTGTCTAGTACAAGCAAATGGGCAGTTTTAAAAAACCTACTGTACATTGGGGACATTTAAAGAGGTTTAACAGTTATCTGCAGATAATATAGTCTATATTCATATGCAATTTTTTTTACTGACTGATGTCAAATTACATGTTTTGTTGATTTTTTAAGTGAAAGTAGGTTAACACACCCTCTACAGACAACATGCATCTGCACATTTAAAGTACAGTTACTGTTTATTTAAAACATAAAATGTGGCCTGTTTTTTATATTTTTTTCCAATACATTAAACTCAGCAAATACATAGAAACTGTGCACTTCAATTAGCAGAAAAAGTCATATTTAACTTTGTACCCTGTAGAGTATAAATTACATTATTTTCACTTGGAAAATCGATAAGTAAAACATAATTTGTCTTGAAGTGTTCAAACCTTTGCATACAAGTGTATGTATGTGTGTTATCATAACTCTACATTTCCTGGACGTTCTCCACTCAAATGTCTGCAGGATATTGTATATAACTTATAGCGTTGTGTAACTTACAGAACTGGAGTTTGTGTGTGTGCGTGTGTGTGTGTGTGTGTGTGTGTGTGTGTGTGTGTATGTGTGTGTACATGTGTATGTATGTATGCATACGAATGTGCTGCTCTGCAGTGGAGGCAGAGGATGAGAATAAGGGTGGGGGAGCTGAATGATTAGGGCACTAGAGAACACTATGACCTTGAATTGAGTGTGTGTGTGTGTGTGTGTGCTGACAAAGCTGAAACAGCAGTCAGCACACACACACACACAGGCAGATTGAGATTGCATGGTGATATCTAAACACTGTCTTATTGTGCATTCGCAGCTGCACATGCACTCCCTACACCTGACCTCACCTGGCTCTCATTACGCTCCTGCTAGAAAGCAGAATCAGCTCGTTCTCTTTTCAAATAACTGAGCCTGAATAGTATATTCTTGTGCCCTTCTGGCCTGATGTCCGGTGTTATACGTTTCTAGCTGTAGTCTTCAGTGTGTGTGAGGACAGACAGAGACAGGATATCCACTGTGACTGCAGGGACAGAAACGGCCAGCGCCCCAGACAGTTGTCTGTAGAACAGGATGCATCTCTCAGCCTCTCTCAGTACACATTATCACGAGTTCTCTCAGCTTCCTACAACAAACAGCAGCATTCAGGCCTGCAGGCTCCTCACTGTTTTTCTATCTCTGTAAAACTGCAGTCATGTAATAATTTTAAAAGAACATTCTGAACTTTATGGTTGGCTATACTTAATAATAGGTTAATAATACACTTTAAAAAAGAGAATCACTTGTCATATAACAATTCAATAATACAGACAGAGCATGACTGAAATGTTATATACTAGACATAAAAATAACTGCTTTATTCACATTTAGCCAGAGTATTTTGGGAACAATGAAAAGTAATGATGTGAAAAAAATAGTAAAAAATAATAATAATAGTAATAAATAAAAATAATTTTCTATAGTAATTTCCTGATATGAAATTACTATAAATAGTTATTTCATCAGCAAAATTCAATCACTGTTTGTTGAATATGGGACATTCTGGATATTGATTTTATTGTAAATTCATTCTAATAATGCTATACAGCTTTCACAATTACAGTCGTATACAAAATTTTGAACCCCCTGGTCAGATGACATGGTTTTGTTGATTTTCCAGGTGAAAATAAGTTAAAACATCCTCTACAGAGAACACAGTTAAATATTGCACTCTTTCCTCCATATAAAATTTGGTGCAGGTTAAGTGTATTAAAGGTAACACATTATTTGGAATTATCTTTTATAGATGATTAATAAACTTAACAGATAATCAGTAACACATCAACAACATTTCAGTGAAACAGCAGTCATGAATACATTGAAGTAAATATCTTGCAGATGTATTGTTACATTGAACATTGCTTACATTAAGTAGATGTATTGTTAATTTGTTACTTCCATTACACAAAACCTAACCCTAACCCTGGCCCTAATCCTAACCCTGACCTTAACCTGAACCCAGAACCTAATCCTAACCCTGACCTTAACCTGAGCCCAGAACCTAATCCTAACCCTCATATGTTTTTGACATGTTACTGAGAGTCCATTGAGTGTTTGTTTCATCTAACAGGACACAATAAAGTGTCACCGTATTAAAATGTGCAAAACATAATTTGACTAAGGGCATGCAAACTTTTGCACCCGGCTGTAATGTATTTTTAATCAACAAACAAGTTTGCAATATGCAAGCTAGACTATTAGTGAATAAAAGTAATAAAATATGGCTGATAAGTGAAGAAAAAAAAACAATGGGCCTTATTCATCAATATCTTCCTAAGTTTGTTCTTAAATGTGTTCTTGAGAAAGGTCATAAGAAAAAAGTCTACGTCAGACTCACGACGTGTTCTTAAAGCACAGAATTGTTCGGACCTTTGTGCTCTTAAATGTGCTCAGATTCAGTACTTAACTAAGAACAAATCCCAAATAAGAAAACAAATGAATGTCAGAATCTTCATGAAAACTGTGTAAGTGGATTTTAAGAAAAAAAAAATTCTTCTTTAGAATGGTTGGTGAATAAGGCCCAATCTTGGTACACTGAAGAAAAATCTTATGATGGATAAAATGTAAAAGGCAGAGCTACTGAGAAAGAACACAGTCATATGACTACTGAACAGACTTCTTCTGTTCTTTCTGCATTGTGGAGCATGAAAGCTGGAGCTTTAGATCATTAAAATTCATACAGAGGCAGAGAGAAAGAGAAAAAGGCAGAACGAAGAACCAGAGAGAGCGAGAAGAGAGAGATACAAAGTTTAAAGGGCATTTACTTGCTGGTACAAGGTCAGGTTTTCTACCCTCGTGTCTATATAGACAGCATGGCTAACTGCCAGTGAATAAAATCAAACAGTGGCATCAACAGCCATCAGAGATTTAAACATATAAACAACAGTGAAACAGAACGCTGTGCTTGTATGTGT